GCGGGGGGGCAACCATTTGTGCTGACTTCAGAGCACCCCGATAAAAATGGGAAATTTGCCTTCTTCCTCGTCAAACCCGCCTGAGCGTCATTATGGTGTCAAATGAGCCAGGTGACACGATCCCTCTGAAGCTATTTTCTGTCATTTTAAAATAGTATTTAAATATAATAATGAGGATCAAGGGGGGTCAGATTGCAGCGCGCGCGCCCACTCTCCGGCCTCTCGTGCCATTCATGCAGGGGTTAAACAGGAGTAAAATAATTGGAGTAATGAGCAGAGAGGCAATCTGCCGCAGACAGAGGCCTGGCTCCAGAGAGGCTGTAGCTCCAGGCAAGGCGGAACTTTTATCATTCCTAAAATGTCAACGGGGGACTGGGACGGGCAGCACCGACACTTCCTGCTCTTCATCTGCAGCCGCGCGTTCACTTCACCTGCAAACTCCAAATCCATGTTTGTGCGTTTCCTTTGGCTTGGAGACTCTTCATCAGGTGTGTGTCACCCGTGAGGCATGAATCAACACATAATCCCTGACAATAAATTCAAATCACACGGATGAGCGCTCAGGCTGAAAGAAAAGAGGAGAAACTCGACACAAAAAGCCTAAAGAAGGAGGTGTGTGTGTGTGTGTGTGTGTGTGTGGGGGGGGGGGGGGTCACTCTTTTCTTCTGAACTCTTTCATTCTTTTGTCCCCCCCACCCCCCTGCTCTCTTGTGGTGCCAGGGGCCAAAGCACAAAACAAAAGTCACTTGTTGATCTCATCCAGAAGATCACAGGAGGAAAAACAAAAAACCCTCTTGATCCCCAAGAGAGACAAGTTGGTTTATTACAGATGATTGTGAAAGGAGAGGAGTTTAACAGGAAACTGTGAGAAGAAGCTGCCGCAACTTTATTCTTTACAAACACGCCCTAACCCCAACTTCAAAATCTGGAAAAATACAAATAAATTCAAGATTTAACCTAAATTTGACACTTCAAATGCTAATTATGTGAATATGAGGTTTTTTTTTTTTTAAGACAAACATTTATTTTACATTAAAAGTGTAAATCTTCTCAAGTTTGAGGGTTAAAGAACCATCTGATTTGGCTTTATACTTATTGCAGTATGAATAAATAAAAAGTTGCATTTCTGTTTTTCTTCATAACAGTCTGTAATCATGTGAACAGCTGCAGACTGTGCATGAGCTTCCATGTAAAATCAGGTAGAATAAAGAAGTTGGACACTTTTGACGTACTGGTGAGTATTTATGCACAGATTCTTAGAGAAATGTCTGCAGGTCAAATGTAAACATGTTTACAATGAGTCCTTCTGCGAGGTCAACTCTTTCAAATGGCACAATTTAATATAAATCAGAATAACTTTTTTTATTATTACACAGTTTGCAATGAGCATATTTACAACCACTGTCAGATAAAGTGTTTCAATCAAATGATAAACTGAAAAGTATTTCTGAATATTTGAAACAGGAAGCTGCTCTTAACACAATTTTCAAGCAAAACAGTCACAGATTTTGCTCCAAACTCCACTTTGTGTCAAACAACACCACCTTCTGTCCACAGCTGGAAGACAAAACTTCTTTCCGCTCATAAAATCCTCAAAGTCTGCATTAATGGAGACAAACACTGTTTTTATCATTGCAGGACATTTAGTGTGATGTTAAACAATTGTCTGTGTGTGAAACATTTTTCTTACATGTTTCTAAGCGTCTAAAAACAATAAAAACCTCCAAAAATTTTATTTTTAAGAGTCGTTTAACGCATTTAATCCATTTTGTTTGTTAGTTTATGTGCATTTCTTTTATTCCCTTTGTTAGTTGGGGGTTAAATTGTTTTCTCTTGCCCAAAAAAAAAAAAAAAAAAAAAAAAAAATTAAACAAATAAAATTATTTGTAATCAGTGTTGCAATAATTAGCTGTATATTCTTAAGAGTTTCTTCTCTAATTTAATTTGAAACATTTTAGTTGTTGGCTCATTGTTACTAAATATCTGATGCACGCGCACACGCACTCACAAAAAGCCTCATTTTTAGCACAAAATAAAAGTCTTACATTTTTCATCTATAAAAGTGTAATTTACAAAAATATAAATATAATTTAAGATCATTGTGAGATTTTAAAGACCAGAAAAAAAACACGTCCTTTTTTAATTTTCCAGCTCAGTGTTCATTTGAACGCATACACACGTTATCGTCTGTCCGATTGCCCTTGAACGCAACACCAGCTCAACCCCGCATAATAACAGTAATAACAATAATTGAAGGAAATAAATCTTGACTCAAACGTGGCCTTCATCGGTTATTTCTCACGGATGTTTCTACCAAAAAACTGCAATAAAAACCAGGCTCCTGCAGGAAAACCACATGTTCTGTTGATGTAAAGGGCATTTACAGGAAGATTACAGTAAAAGTTATGAGAAATGAGCCTCTGGAAGCTCAGCATGAAGGCAGATCTGAATCAATCAAAGAGTGGCAATAAAAAATGGAAGGCTGTAATCAGCCTACATTAGTGAATTTTACAGCTGGGTGGCAGAAACAGGATGAAAATAGTGATGCAAGCATTAATGTATCTCATTTAGATTTTCAGTCTGTTTACCAGCTCTGTATATTTTATATGGCAGCTGTGAAACTGTTGCATAAATATGGGAAATAATGTGGCTCAGTGAAAAGTTGGGTCGTGTCTTTTAATTTCCACTAGAGGGCAGCATTGTGGGCGTTTTGTGGTAAAACTTTAAATCATTTACAAACCAATTTATTGTTCTGAAATACATTAAAAAGTTCAGTGCTTGACTCTTTAGAGCATCATCAACATTTCAACAGACTAAACAACTGGGATTTAGTGGAAAACCTCTGACAATAGCCACATTTACAGAGAAGTAATTATTATAAAGCCTGCGCAGAGTGTGCCAGGTTATTGGAAATAAAGTGGGGAACATTTTCTTACGCGGACTAATGAGGCAACGTTTTTAAAAAGCTGGAAAATGTGATGGAAAATTGCCTGAAAACCTCCTAAAACTAATGTGAATCACTAACTGCACCGCCGCTTTGCTTTAATGTGAGGAGGTTTGTGATGTGTTTGCTTACAGGGAAATTTATTTTTAACAGAGCAGAGAACGGTTGCTGCCCCCCCTCGGCTGTGTTTTTACTGTCTCCCAACATAAACTCTGAACAATTACCTGCACCGCCTGTGGATTTAATGATCTGTTCTCCTTTTGCCTTTAAAGAAAAGCGGTCTGCAGGGCCCTTTAATTATTATTAATAAGAGCAACAATTAAACTTTATGCCCTCGCTGTGGGCAGATTTCCTAATAAGCCACATGGTGCTGACTAATAATTCTGTTCAGGGTTAGTTGATCAGTTGTGAGGGGTTCGCAGAGGATGTTTCAGGAGCTACATCTACTTGGAACCACAACAACAACAAAAATGTGCACGTGATCTAAAATAAAACCAAACAGCAGGTTGTAAAATGACGCTCAGAGTAAATGAAGATTCTGTTAATTAGGTTAAAATTTTTACTGCCTCACTCAGTGCAACACATCTCCTTCGCAAAGAATAGATCAGGTTGTTGACTGTGACCAGTGGAATGTTGGTCCACTCCTCTTTAATGGTGTGATGCTCCTGGATATGGTCAGGAACTGGGACACACTGTTGCATACGCCAATCCAGAGCATCCCAGACATGCTCAATGGGTGACATGTCCGGTGAGTGCTGACCATGCAAGACCTGGGATGTTTTCAGCTGCCAGGAATTGTGTACAGATCCTTGCAACATGGGGTTGTGCATTATTATTAATAAAATGCAGTTGTGTTTGTTGTCCATAACATACGCCCGCCCATACCATAACCCCACCGCCACCATGGACCACTTGATACAACGTTGACATCAGCAAACCTCTCACCCACATGACGCCATACATGCAGTCTGCCATCTGCCCTGTACGGTGAAAACTGGGATTCTTCCATGAAGAGAGCACCTCTCCCACGTGCCACAAGCCATCGAACGTGAGCATTTGCCCACTCAAGTTGGTTATGAGAACAAACTGCAGTCAGGTGGAGACCCCGATGAGGATGACGAGCATGCAGATGGGCTTCCCTGAAACGGTTTCTGACAGTCAGTGCAGAAGTTCTTTGGTCGTGCAAACCAGTTGTTGCAGCAGCTGTCTGGGTGGTTGATCCCAGATATCTTGTAGGTGAAGATGTTGGATGTAGTGATCCTGGGCTGGTGTGGTCTGCGGTTGTGTGTTGGATGTCATGCCAATTTCTCTGAAACACCTTTGGAGATGGCTTATGGTGGAGAAATGAACATTCAGTTGGGGAGCAACATCTGTGGCATTGTGCTGTGATAAAACTGCACATTTTAGAGTGGCCTTTTATTGTGGTCAGCCTAAGATGTCTTGATATGCCACACCTGTGAGGTGGACGATTGTCTCAGCAAAGGAGAAGTGAAGTGCTCACTAACACAGATTTACACAAATATGTGAACAATATTTGAGAGGAAAAGGCCTTTTGTTTAACTTGAAAAAACAAAAGTGTTGATCTATCTATCTATCTATCTATCTATCTATCTATCTATCTATCTATCTATCTATCTATCTATCTATCTATCTATCTATCTATCTATCTATCTATCTATCTATCTATCTATCTATCTATC